TGACGATCACGCCCAAGAAAAAAATGTAACTCTGAATAGGGAGGGAATACTCAGATCCTAGGCCTGCCTCGAAAGGCGAAAAGTACCCTAAGAAGACTATACTACAATATATAACTAAAAGTAATAATAGATAATTAACATACCTTCAAAGAATCGTAGAAAATATTCTCTCTTTTATTGGCCTGGTTAACTATAATATCAGAATTTACCTCCTCATCGATGATTGAACTATTGAGCTTTTCAATTTTTGCTTTTTTTGTAGCACGCAAATCCTTTTTACGAAGATTTCTCTTAGAGGCCTTGGATAAGATAACAGGAGTGCTTTGCAACAACATAGTGACGATAGAAGTAAGCAATTTTATAAAAATAGAAAATTTTATATTCTCTTGGAAACAAGCAAATTCGGAACAGAACTTTGTACTGAAGGCCCTTTTATTATAAATTACGGCTTATTTTTATTAGTTCAGTATATACTGCAATAATCTGACACGAAGCTGTATGCAGTATAAATGATTCAGCATTGCGATAATTTAACGAGTCAACTAATAATATTTTTTATTTGGCGTCATAATAATTACTAACAAACAAATAATTAAATTGTTTACCAAATTCGGCACCACAATTATTGAACATGGCAAATCAACCAACAATCGCACCTTTTCTATATTTGGGTTTAGGTTATTAATAACTTCAGAACTTGTTGAGCGGGTATTTGGCTTTACCTGATACAGGTACAGTAACAATTTGATAATAACACTGATACTTTTAATCATATATCGCCATATGTAATATAATATTGGGTAATATCTCTAGTTAATGCCAAAGGACTATAGAAGAAATTATTTTATAGTTACACTTTAAAAATTACAAATACTTTTCATCCATTTTTGCTATTTAAATTCTATATTCATTGGCATAAAATATCTAACAAGTCTTCATTTTTTTTATTCCTTGCAATATATATTATGGATATCGAACCAGATAAAATTTTTGACAGTATCTCACATGCTTTAGAATAATTTATTGTTATTGCTTCATTACTCATTGACTTTTTCCCTAAAAAAATCAAGTATTATGACTTTCTCCCTGAAAAAATAAAATACTATATATTAGAGATCTTTGATATTTATGTCTTTGCATTTCCTATTTTATGCCTTGAATTGGTTTTTCTTGAATATAATTATTCAGGAATTCATAATTATTCAAGAATTCTATTTTATACTGGCATATTTTCTCCAATTTTTGATATACTTATCTGTGGTTTTCCACTCATAACTCTATGTCGATTTGCTTCTCCTGTATATCAATTTACTGCTATGAATGTTTTGATATTGCAACCAACTCGCATGAAACTTTATTTTATGGCTTTACTATATTCATTACTTGCAATATGTTATAGTACAGTAAAAATTAAATTGGTGTATACATCTAATCACTTAGAGTTTTTAATTCACAGCTTTAAGTTTTTAATTTACGAAAAATATATGATTAGTTTCTTAAATTTTATCTTTTCGATAATTGTAATATTGAGTGATTCAATTAAAAATCCAGAAAGATTTATTTTTATGTTAATAGCCATACGAGTAGCTATTAATCCATTAAAAAAAGTCAAAACAGCCACTAAATTCACTGCGTCATCCAGAGTGCCTTTTTTTAGTAATTCAGTAGCTTTATTAAGTGTTTCATTTACCTCTTTTGCATATACATTAGATTATTTTATAAGAGATTTTCACGAACAATATACTATTAGCTCTATTAGTTATATATTTTTACTTTTTTTCCTATTTTTTTTAATTTTTTCAATTTTCTTTCAAGCAATTATATTTATACTCGAAAGACAACTTTTAGTAGGTTTTGATCTTGATACTTGGTATACTTATATTACAGGATCTAAAGCATCTTATTTAATTTTAGCTTTTTCAAGTATTTTTGTTATAGAATTAATTTTTTTTACAAATGACATTTCTATAAAAAACCTTTATGAAAAAGCTGGTATATATATTACAGATTAATAAACCAAACAATAGTTTGTAAAATTTTATAATACTATATATACGAAATTTTGTCACGATTTTGATCATTTCATCAGAATATCCTCTAGATGTTGAATGCTCGATCAGCATACAATATTTACTGCATTATGATATTTGTTTGAAAGGTGCTCCTTCGAAGCCAGACTATGAATATCTGAAATTGATATGCTGTTATGTAAAATCACTAAACCACTGTTGAAGTACTGTCCAGAATAAGCGAAACCCTAAATTTGTATATACCGATACTGACAAATGTTTATTGAATTTGACGGATTTTTGTGCACTCCATACCGATACGTGTTAAAATATTTATTGGTATTTATTTAAAAAGCTACCCCTATATGGCCAAATTTGTACATCTGTTGGTTTAACAGTAGCGGTAAATCATTCAAATTATGACTTAACAGTCCCACGGGTCTGCTTTTTATTTTGCTAGACTCTTGATCGGCTTTAATAATCAATAGCCTGCATTAAATTTTATGCAGTGTTACTTTAATTTCTCACAGTCGATTTTTAATTTATAGTGAATATCTAGAAAGCCTTTTCTTATTATATATATTCCCGATAAGAAAAAGCATGAATGGGATTTAAAAGGGTTATAAGGGTAATGAGTATAACGTTCTTTATCAGTAATTTTATCAAAAATCATATGTTATGAGGACTTCGAATCTCCGCCATCTCCCGAGATCGTCAGATCTGAACCCACTTTAAACAATCGTCGAATCTAAGGGGGTGTAATTTCACCAGAAAAGCAACAAAATAGATTCAGTATTTGGGACTTATAACCGAATAGACTTGCTTTACATGGTGGGATCTAGTTTGTGTTATTCTAACACAATTACTAATCATATACCTTTTTTTCTGGTAGGTTTTTTAGATCTAACGAATGGACGGTATAAAATGAAGCAAGTTTCTACCTTTTAAGATAAGTTAGCAATAATGTTATTTTTTGCTCATATATATATTTTTTACTTGGTTTACTTGCCTGTAATTTATTTTTAAGGTATGTATTATACCCAATTTTTTCTACCAGAAATACAATTACATGTCTATATATGATATTAATCATTTTTCTTATATAGCTACGATGTCTGAAAACATTTTTTCATATGAGAATGGAGAAACAAAAACCTTTAATACCAATAACGATAATATCAAAGTAACGGTTGAAGGAATAAATGGTGATATCGCAAGGGTTTTTCTTGTGGATAAAAATAATAAGACGTATGAGTTGACGGGTGTAGTTTTTGAAAATGCAATGACTGGAAAACTATTACAGCCTGTAAAAGTCAAGGATAAAGAAAGCTATCTCATAACTTGGTTATATAACTATAAGTTATCCGTGGATGGTAGGCTAATTTTTATGCTAGAACAATAAAAAGTGCAAAAAGGTGTAATTTTTAACTTAGCCCATTTTTTTCTAACAAAAAAAATAATTTTTTATTTATATTTTTTTTATTATATAATAGTGGAGCTAGTGCTATAAAGGCACATAAAAATATTTTTTATTTGTATTCATATTGTCGTTTCGGCAATAATTTTTATAAATAAAGAAGGGGGTCCCGTGCCCTCACCATTTTTTATTTTTATACGATTGTGTAAATTGGCAGAAATATTAGTTAGAATTGATCTTATAATTTGCGATTATTAATATTTAGTTAATTTCTTTCCCGCCTTCTCGCAATTCTTGCTCGAAGCCAGATATATTAGAAAAACATTTAGTAAATATATATTTGAGCTAAAGAGAGCAAGTTAACTATATATCTTTTTTTCGAGCTTGCGAGAAAAAAGGCTTACGCTTTCACATTTACTATGGGGATTCCACTAAAAGTTTTATTACAACAATAGAGGCGATATGTTTTTTCGCCACAATAATTACCGGAACCCCATTCACCCTTTATATTTCTCCATATACTTTCTTTATGATCTCCATTGCATAAAGGGCATATTCCTGAATAATTATAACAATCGCTATTTTTATTGCTACATTTAAGTGATAAATTGTTGAATTGCTCCAATGTGGTATAAATAACAAGATTTCGTTTTTCTTCTGGATCATCGGGTAGAATAGAAATTGGAAGACGAGAATTGAGAGATGCATTTTTGTCTATAGGTAATATGCATACCTCTGTTTCATTTTTGTTATCTACAATTTGGGTGGGTTCGGAAGTTTCAGACTTTATCCAAGGATCGAGTCCAGTTTTTTTCTTGTATCTTTTATATAATCTAGAACGAATACGGTGCAAATTATCTAATCACATCAAAAATATAATAAATGTTGCGCCACTAAGCAAATCATTAATTAAGGAAATAATATTGATGATTATAGTACATGATACAATAATCAGTGCATATATATTCCAGAACAGAACTATATACGTAGTAGTTTCTAGAATGTATATAAAAAAAATTATTCAATTTCGATTTTATCACGTATGTACGTAGCGAATGTTCATGAGTCGCTTATTTTTATACACATACTTAGAACTAGGAGCTGGAACTATAATTAAATATATATGTAATCCTAATAATAATGGATCCGTATTATTTCAATTATTCACTGACATTTATTTCACCGAAGGTCATTTTACAGACAATGTAATTCTGGTCAGTATCATTAGAGTCAGGCTAAAATTAGAGGTAAAATTAGTGTAATTTATAAAAAAAAAAACTTGTTGATGAAATGAAATAAACTAATTGTCGGTAAAATAATACAGATCCTAAAGATCCTATTTACCTAGGTGTGAATGAACGTTTTATATTCATCCATTTAACATCAATTCTAATTAGAAATGCTGATTTCCAATTAGAGATGGTAAGGTCTAGTCCTGGTCCGGTCCTGGTCTTGTAACCTGTAGGTTTTACTGCATGGACTTATGGACCAAGTCCTTATAAAACCAGGTTTAGGACTTTAGTTAACTTATGTCTAGTCCAAAACTTAGTTCTAGAATCTAGGTCCGCTATATGTTGTAAAAAGGCGGATTTGGGATGACTAGTACTTGCAACCTAAGACACAACAAAAATCAAAGGCTATTCGAAAAGAAGGCATAGAAGATTTGATCCGAGAACCAAGGATTAGGATTCCCAGAGTTTATTATTAAACGGTCATTCACTTGTTTACAGATACATGAAATCAATGG